ATTAAGCTTCAGTCAAAAGCAGGGGCATCGGAAGCAAAAAAAAAAAAAAAGTGGTTGGGTCCAGAAAAATTTTACCGGAGTAGATGCCATTTCCTGTATTCTGGTGCCTAGCCTAGCAAAAACATCAGGTAACTGTTAGCATTATAACAACATAGTGTAAGTGTAACTGTAATTCAATGCTGCAAGACCACATGATGCTTTTAAAAGCAACAGGCAAACAGATTGTTTACCTTGCTGTGTTGTGGGAGTGCAGCAGGCGTGAGTAGTGAAAAACACGGAATGGAGTTTAATTTATATGGATTCTGAATGAGCCAAGTGGAATAGATTTTAGGAAGCAGCAGTGTGGAAGTCAAGGCTGTAGCTAAAACATGGAATGGAGTTTAATTTATTAGGACATTCCTCAAATGGCTGTAAAATTGAGTGGTTGCAATATCATTGGTCTTAAAAAGGTTTAAGACCAATGGTTCATGCAATAGTTCTGACACCCATGGTCAAAAGTACGTGACCATTCCTACTCAGATTAGCTTCCAGCAAAAAAAATAAAAAATAAAATCCGTACAAGGACGAGTTATACAATGCTTTAAGAGGATTACAGACATTTCATGAAAAACAATAGCACTCTTTCGACAAACAGTATTTGAAACATTACATTTCAAGTCCATTCAGGCCTCATTGACTAATAATGTCGTTCAATTTGCCTTTTCATGTGCACATAAAAACGTTCTAAGGTAAAATATCTGTAGGAATCCTGAGTTCGCACGTCAATTTGTAACTTACCCTTATTCTAATATTGACAAATTCTAAAAGAGGGAGTGCAAGTGCCATGAGCTACTAATTTGCATAAAACGCACCCAAACCATGCCCATATTAGGGTTTCTGCACTCACTCTCTCACAAGAGAGCATGTGCAGCGTGATTTTCAAGTTAAGCAAAGTGTGCCATTCTCAGATACTCTTAAAACGCAATAAACAGTGTATACTCAACGTAAATTTTCGGACCTCTGATTGGCCAAGCTACAAATATGCCATTTTACATAGCATTTTTTTAATTTAATTTCTAATAACTGACAATAATGTTGTGCAACATTATTTACACAACATTATTCTTTACACACACACACACACACAATATGGCCTAAAATAAAAAACTAAAAATGTCACTGGGTGTCACGAGATCACCTGCCTCACCAGCCGAACCAACCGTCTACACCCGTTCACAATCACCTAGTTATTAATCACGGACACCTGCATCCACTTACCACACCATTCAAAAACACACGCACCTCAGTCACTCGTCGGCTGGTCTCAAGGTTGTGAGCTTGTCAGCGCGGAGCCCCTGCCTACCTGTCTGCCTGTCTATCCGGGAATCCTCTGCTATCTGTGAAAGGACCAGACCATTTAAATTCAGATAAGACTGCTTCCTCTGCTTTCGTAGCACACCTCAGTTCGATTCTCCTATGTTGGAAGCCCTTCCTCAGTTACCTTAATAAAATGATCTGTTTGCTTGACTCTGCTTGTTTGCCTCCTTGACCAGATGTGACAGAATTACTCCATTGGAATATATTAACACAAAATATTATTCAGTACATTTTCTATATACAACAAATCATTTAATATATTGTTTGTTAATATATGCGAAAATATTTTCTTTGCGTAAGGGTAAAATGTTCTGTTTAATGCAGTTTACAGTAGACTGTCACAGCAACGATCTACTGTGAATAAAAGTGTCACTAATACAAATAACTTAGCACTTTTGTCTTTAACCACAATTTATGCAGTATCTTCAGCATATATAATCTTTGAATGTGTTTAAAGATGAAAAATGTTGAAGATACTGCATACAAACAGAGGAAATCGAAAGGATGGTCAGATGTTCAGCTGGCATCTCGGCTTTGTTGTTTCCACCAATAAAGTCTGATTTTGGCATCTGGAGCTCTGTGATTCGAGTAATTTGTGCAAAGAAGAGAAGACTTTTCTCCACAACCAGATCAGTTCTCTGAAAGATGACTGTTCTCAGTCTCCTGGAAGCTATCAATGACAGTATTAACTGCTTCGCTGAATGAGCCAAGAGGTGAAATAGTGGCGACCAAAAGAAAGGCTTTGCCCTTTCCTTGATTCCTGTGAGCCACAGATGCCTCTCTGTAACAACCAGGACAGCAATCCAATGACTGATAGCATGAGCCGTTTGTTTGGTGGCACAGAGGGTGAGATCCATCTCTGGATATAATCTCTCACCATGGTCCAGGTCTTTTAGGAGGTCAGGCTGGTGTGTCCCTGCACCCCATGGTTCTGACCTGCCTCTGTATATGCCTTGCCAACCAACCCAGATGTAACTCTACAGGGCTTGGAAGGAAAGGCCTCTTCAACCCTGACATCGCCCCATAACCTGCTCATGCAGAATCACAATCATCTAATGATCATCAGGACAGCTGGAGTCAGTATCTACCCTGGGCAGAATACGCCCAGAATTCCCTGCGCCAGGAAGCCACCGGACTAACTCCATTTCAATGTGTCCTTGGATACCAGCCGCCACTGTTTCCCTGGACCGAGGAGCATTCAGAAGGCCCAGCGGTAGACTACTGGTTCCGGGACAGCGAGAGGATATGGGACTCAGCTCATGTCCATCTCCAGCGGGCAGTCCGGAGGTACAAGGTCAATGCAGACGCTCGTCGTGCCGACAATCCCGTCTATCAACCCGGGGATCACGTCTGGTTGTCCACTCGGGATATTCGCCTCCGGCGGCCAAGCAGGAAGCTGAGTCCCCGGTACATAGGTCCTTTCCCAGTAGCACGGTGCATCAACGAAGTCACTTACCAGCTACACCTGCCAGACCATTACCGGATCTCACCCACCTTCCACGTTTCCCTGCTAAAACCTTTCACTAATCCTCTCCTCCCTCCCTCCACAGAGCATGAGGTACCCCCCCTCCGCCCGAAGTCGTCTCCGATGAGACCATCTACAGAGTCAAAGAGATCCTCGACTCCCGGCGGCGAGGCGGCCGACTTCAATACCTCATAGACTGGGAGGGGTACAGTCCTGAGGAGAGATTGTGGGCAGACAGAGAGGACATACTTGACCCATCCCTCCTCAACGATTTCCACCAGGGCCACCCTGACCGCCCCGCTCCCAGGGGGCGCGGTCGTCCTCGCCGTTGGTCTCGGCATCAGGAGACGCCCGTGGGGGATGGGGTAATGTCACAAGATCACCTGCCTCACCAGCCGAACCAACCGTCTACACCCGTTCACAATCACCTAGTTATTAATCACGGACACCTGCATCCACTTACCACACCATTCAAAAACACACGCACCTCAGTCACTCGTCGGCTGGTCTCAAGGTTGTGAGCTTGTCAGCGCGGAGCCCCTGCCTACCTGTCTGCCTGTCTATCCGGGAATCCTCTGCTATCTGTGAAAGGACCAGACCATTTAAATTCAGATAAGACTGCTTCCTCTGCTTTCGTAGCACACCTCAGTTCGATTCTCCTATGTTGGAAGCCCTTCCTCAGTTACCTTAATAAAATTATATGTTTGCTTGACTCTGCTTGTTTGCCTCCTTGACCAGATGTGACAGTATTACTCCATTGGAATATATTAACACAAAATATTATTCAGTACATTTTCTATATACAACAAATCATTTAATATATTGTTTGTTAATATATGCGAAAATATTTTCTTTGCGTAAGGGTAAAATGTTCTGTTTAATGCAGTTTACAGTAGACTGTCACAGCAACGATCTACTGTGAATAAAAGTGTCACTAATACAAATAACTTAGCACTTTTGTCTTTAACCACAATTTATGCAGTATCTTCAGCATATATAATCTTTGAATGTGTTTAAAGATGAAAAATGTTGAAGATACTGCATACAAACAGAGGAAATCGAAAGGATGGTCAGATGTTCAGCTGGCATCTCGGCTTTGTTGTTTCCACCAATAAAGTCTGATTTTGGCATCTGGAGCTCTGTGATTCGAGTAATTTGTGCAAAGAAGAGAAGACTTTTCTCCACAACCAGATCAGTTCTCTGAAAGATGACTGTTCTCAGTCTCCTGGAAGCTATCAATGACAGTATTAACTGCTTCGCTGAATGAGCCAAGAGGTGAAATAGTGGCGACCAAAAGAAAGGCTTTGCCCTTTCCTTGATTCCTGTGAGCCACAGATGCCTCTCTGTAACAACCAGGACAGCAATCCAATGACTGATAGCATGAGCCGTTTGTTTGGTGGCACAGAGGGTGAGATCCATCTCTGGATATAATCTCTCACCATGGTCCAGGTCTTTTAGGAGGTCAGGCTGGTGTGTCCCTGCACCCCATGGTTCTGACCTGCCTCTGTATATGCCTTGCCAACCAACCCAGATGTAACTCTACAGGGCTTGGAAGGAAAGGCCTCTTCAACCCTGACATCGCCCCATAACCTGCTCATGCAGAATCACAATCATCTAATAACCGGATATAGCTGGGTTATGGGCACAAGCCAAATAAGGGTTCTTCCAGGATCTCAACACCTCATAGCGGGATCTCACCAGGATCTCATAGCATCAGCGTCAATTCAAGTCCACTCCAAAAGTAACTTATTTAATAGATAAACTGGCTTGTGAGTGAAGAAGTTAGTGTCAAACCCTGTGTGTGTATAATGTCCATGTGCAAGTTACACTTGTGTATTACGGTAGTTTTATTTTGTAAAGGTGTTTATCTAACTCACAGCAACTTTGTGTTCTCACTAACTCTGAGTTTCTATGAGACTGACACCTAGTGGACATTTCAGTATGTGAGTTTACAGACTTACAGACACACCTGTTTTGCACACGTCTCTCAAACACAGAACCAGGAAACTCATTTAAAAGAAACTGAAACTGATCTGCTGTTGAGCTGTTGTTTGTGTGTCTGTATTGCTGTAGACAGTGAAATGGCTGAAGCCAGTGTTTTTTCAGTGGAGCAGTTCAGCTGTCCAGTGTGTCTGGATCTCCTGAAGGATCCAGTAACTATACATTGTGGACACAGTTACTGTATGAGCTGTATTACAGACTGCTGGGATCAAGAGGATCAGAAGAGAGTCTACAGCTGCCCTCAGTGCAGACAGACCTTCAGTCCAACACCTGCTTTAGGTAAAAACACCATGCTGGCTATAGTGGTGGAGAAACTGAAGAAGACCAATCTAAAAGCTGCTGTTCCTGCTGGACATGGAGACGTGGAGTGTGACATCTGTACTGGAAGAAAACACAAAGCTGTCAAGTCCTGTCTGGTGTGTCTGGAGTCTTACTGTCAAACTCACTTTGAGCGTCATGAAGAGTTTCGCTCAGGAAAGAGACACAAAGTGACTGATGCCACTGGACGACTGCAGCAGATGATCTGCCATCAACATGATAAGCTTCTGGAGCTTTTCTGTCGTACTGACCAGCAATGTGTTTGTGTACTTTGTATGACAGATGAACATAAAAACCATGAGACTGTATCAACTGCAGCAGAGAGGACAGAGAAAGAGGTATGAACTGAAACGACACATTGATGTATTAATGCTGACACTTCAAGTGTTTCTCCTCCCTGCAGTATCCAGCTGTATCATGAGTGCATCATGTGAACTTCTCTCCCATTGAGAGTTACTACATGACGGCTCTGTGCATTAGAGCATGAGCTGAACTTTACTCACCTTTGTCACATCGCTCAAGATTTCTACTATAACTGTACGTGCATCAGAGTTATTGTTTTTGCTGCAAATTGCACTCAGTTTGAAAGTCCATTTCTTCACATTAATTCTTGGTTGCAGAATAATGATGACAATAAACTCATATGCCCTCCTTCATATGAGGACTTAATGGAAACTAAATTAAATTAATGATCTTAAAACTCTGAGAAACACTGTGAAGAAGAATTTTTTTAATCAAACTTTGATTTTGAAATGATTTTGTGATATACTGTATTTGTTTAATATGTGAGGTTTGCTGTTTTTAATTTCTCCTCCAGAAACACTTGAAGGAGACACAGAGTGAAATCCAGCAGAGAATCCAGCAGAGACAGAAAGATCTTGAGCAGCTGAGAGAGGCTGTGGAGTCTCATAAGGTGAGTTTGGAGAAGAAGAGAAGTTTGAGACTCAGTTTGACTCTCCTCTTTCAGTCCCACTGAAGCCACTGTGAGGAAGCAGTAAGAGCTGATTGTGATGTGTGTCTAACAGCGCTCTGCACAGACAGCAGTGGAGGACAGTGAGAGGATCTTTACTGAGCTCATCCGCTCCATTGAGAGAAGCCGCTCTGAGGTGACACAGCGGATCAGAGATCAGGAAAAGACTGCAGTGAGTCGAGCTGAAGGACAAATGGAGCGACTGGAGCAGGAGACTGAAGATCTGAAGAAGAGAAACTCTGAGCTGGAGCAGCTTTCACACACAGACGATCACATACATTTCCTCCAGGTAACAGAGATCTAATAAAACCCACAGTGGACTTTAACAAGATCTGCTGTTAAAGGTATTTATTGAATCTCTAATTATCATTGATTATTTGAGCCACACAATTTGATTGAGAGACAATAAGTAGTGATTCTACTGACAGAAATGTTGTCTGTTGTGGTCTTTACCGTAAAAAAAAAAAACTGGTTTCACTCAGGACTGGAGTAATGATTTGACAATGAAATATGCTAATAATAGAGACTATTATCCATTATAATATAACTTTTTTATTTGTCAAATTATTAACCAATAATATAATGGTCTTAATTATAGTTGAATAGTCTCCTCTTCAGTTGGTTTATTAATTGTTATTCCTGCAGAGTCTTCAGTCTCTCTCAGCTCCTCCTGAATCTACAGAAAACATCTCTGTCAGTTTCCTCTTTTCTTTTGATGGTGTGAGAGAATCTGTCTGTCAGCTGAGACACAAACTGGAGGATTTCTGCAAAGAGGAGATGAAAAAGATATCTGGTAAAATATTAGAGATTCATCTGCTCTCTGTAATGAGACAAACATCATCTAATATCATAAAGAAAATGTTAGAAATGTCTAAGGAATAGATACAGGTATCATTTTCTCTCTGAGTGTTTATATCTGCTATTTTCACAGTCACTCACAGTAACATTGTTCCCAGGACCAGAGAGGACTTCCTACAATGTAAGCCACTAACAAACACAATGACACACACTAAGATACTTTAACTAGAAAGTTTAGTTTGAAGTGACAGAACTGATAGAAAATATTATTTATAATTCATTATGAATCATGTGCAGTGTAGGCAAAAATACTCCTGTTTACATTGAATTATTAATTACTTCTTTAAATTTGTAGTCAGATTACTTTATTGATAATTTTTAATAGTAGTTTAATAATTAATACTCGTTTAATTTTAAGTTACTTTCTTAAAACCACTATGAACCAACATACAAATACATAATGTGATACCCAATAGTTCATTAATACTTTAATACTGGCTGATCGCCATAGCAACAATAAAACAACAAATCCAATACATTTCTAAAAATGCAAACTGATGTGTTTGTCTGTTCTGTCCAAATATCTACAGCTTTCTGTGCTTGTGTGTGAATCGTAGGCCTACACGTGAATGTGTTTGTATTTGTGTTTATGTAAAAAAGAATAAATAAATAAAATAACCAAGCAAACACAAAAACAATTTTTTTTCAATCTGAACAAAGAGCTTTTACAGTTCAGCACAAAAAGATAAAAAGGGATTGTGTCTTAAATTTTAAAGAAAGTTGAGATAGACGAAAGTAAGTTAAGAAACAGAAATCATAGAACTATGCAAACATTTAGTGTGAGAATAATAGTTTATGACATATCAAGCGAATGCATGAACATCATGCTACAGATCTCATAGAGCAAAATAATCTTAAAAGTTTAACTTTTACAACTCCTGATTACAGTGTTTTTTTTTTTCTGTTCACCAGATTCCCATCAGTTCACTCTGGATCCAAACACTGCACATAAACGTCTCCGTCTGTCTGAAGGGAACAGAGCGGTGACTTACACTGACACACCTCAGCTGTATCCTGATCATCCAGCCAGATTTG